ATTGCATCCTAACATGCCTGTATGATGAATGCCAAAGCACAATGTCTGGAGCCCGCAGTGGTGCAATAGGTTAAACCAGTGGTTCCCAAACTTATTTGGCCTACCCCCTGGAAATCAATTTTTCTAAATCTTCTCTTCTTTATTTTATGCTTTTAACGCCCCCTTACATTTATTCATCGCCCCCAAATGCACCTGTGGCCATTACGCCTCCCCCCCCCCCGGATCGCTGAAGCGCCCACCAGGGGCCGGTAACGCCCACTTTGGGAATCACTGGGTTAAACCCTTGTTTAACCCAGTGATTCTCTGCAGGAATCCAGAGAGAGTAGAATCCAGGGAGAGCAGATTAAGCTCCCTCTGTCAGCTCCAGCTCCCCATGCGGGGACATGAGAGAATCCTCACACAAAGATGGCAAAACAGCAAACATCTGGGCATCCCCTGGGCAACATCCTTGCAGACTATCAGTTCTCTCACACCAAAAGCAACTTGCAGTTTCTCAAGTCACTCCTAACACAAAAAACTGATATATTTCATAATTCTAATACATTTTGAGACACAGGGCTAGAGCAGATGTCCACCTGATAGAACTTTCCGAGTTGGTGTATGTAGCTAATTTGGTATCTTATGTAAGACAAGACCACAGTTTCACTTCATAAAATCATCAATGAAAATAAGTTAAAATTATTCTTCTAATCATAGAACACTTTTCCATGTCACATAAATTATCCCATCGTTTAAGGATCAGGAATATATGAAAATTTGCATGTAGCACCAGAAAGCCTCAGAACTATAGCACTTCTGGTATCATTTATGTATTATTAAGATGATGGGTCTCTGGCTATTTAACCTATAAATCATTAATGGTGCTTTGTATCCACAGATATTTTCCTTACAGCTGTCTTGACAAAGAGAGTATGATACCTAATTAGATTGGTTAACCAGGTGTACCCGACCAGCTGGCTATTATCATGTGCTCTGCAGTTTTCAGATACAACCACTTTGTGATGACAGTTAGGCTATTCTGGTTTCTTTCAAGAAAATATAACATACCCATGGTAGGTTAGCTGATATACAGCTGTGTTGAAATAATGTTTAACCTTGCTGTTGTTCTGTTATCTCAAGTCAATTCTGGATGATGATGATACTAATGCAGGCTTTTCTTGGCCAGATGTATACAAAGGAGGCTTGCTATTGCTTTCTTCTGAGGCTAATAGAGGCCAAGATCACACACTTGATATCTATGGATGAGGGATTCAAACCCTGGTCTCTTGGATTCCTGGTTCAACACTCAAACCACTATGTAATGCCTTGCTCAGATCTTAAAACCCTGCTCAGATCTTTAAAAAATTCAAACCCATGGCTTCCTTGATAGCTTATTATTATTATTATTATTATTATTATTATTATTATTATTATTATTTTACTGACACAAAAGTACAGTATGTCACAGCAAACAAGATCTATATGCTGGATTTCATATCAAAAAATCACAAGTTGAACACTTCCCAAGCATCTAGGACTGTATGATGTATTTTTGAATGATGCGCTCAGATCTAAGTAAGGTGGCCTTTTGCAGTTGACATCATCATCATCATCATCATCATCATCATCATCATCATCATCATCATCATCGTTATTTCTTTTCTTTTCTGCTATTTGCAGCCCTTCCCCCCCCCAAAGTGAGATCCAAGGCAGCTTATTCATCTTTAATGCAGTCTTTCTCCTATTGCCTCTACCTAATCAAACATTATTGTTTTTTTTAGTGAGTCATTTCTTATCATGATGTGTCAAAAATATGACAGTCTCAGTTTAGTCATCTTGACATTTACAGAGAACTCAAGCTTGATTTGCTCTAGGATCCAGTTATTTATCTCTTTAGGAATCTACCATAACACCAGCACAATATTTCAAATGGGTTGATTCTCTTCCAGTCTGCTTTCTTCATTGTCCAGCTTTCAGAACAACAGATAGAACTGGGAAATATGATGGCATGGACAAGCAGAAATGAAGCATTCAATGATATATCTTTACAATCCAGGATCTTGCTTAGTTCTTTCATAGCTATCCTTCCAAATGCTAGTCTTTGTTCTGATTTCTTCTCTTCTGATTAGTGACTATGCAAAGTCATGGAAAAAAATAACTATTTCAATGTCTTCATCACCTGTCTTAAAATTACGTAAATCATCTGTGATAATTATGTTTATCTTCCTAATGTTCAGTTGCAAAACAGATGTTGCACTTTCTGCCTTGACCTTCTTCAGTAATCATTACAAGTCTTTGCTATTTTCTATTAGTAGTATCATGCCATTTGCAAAATAGGTCTCTCCAGAACTTTGTGAAGATGGCCCAACAAGGAGATTAGTCTATAGCTTTTTGGATCATTGTGGTCTTTGTCTGGTTTCAAGATGGCTATGACTCTTGCTTTCCTCCAGGCTTTAGGGATCTGACAGGATGCAATGCAGTTATTCATCAGTTTTAGAAGCCAACACCTTGCTTTTGACCCAAAGTTCTTAATTTGTTCCATCCGTAGATTATCCAGGTCAGCAGTTTTGCCATATTTACATTTATTGAGACCCATTTCCAATTCAGTAGATGTAAAAGGTTCATGAAGGTTATTCTTCTCATTATCTGGTTGCCTAACTATTGGTTTCCTTCCTACTTTGGTGGGAAGGTTGGGTTTCCCATTCTTCAGAAGTTGATATGCTATCTGATCTGCCTTTATGTTGGCATAAGCATTAGTTTGTGAAGGATCATTGCTCAACCGTCTTAACAGCCTCCATGCCTTCTGATTGCTCCTGCTCATATCTACTTCTGTTATCAGCTTTATCCACTGTTCTTTCTTGGCTTCAGAGATGGAGAACAAAATGCTCTGAGCTGCCTGAAGAATTTGCTCACTAAATGGGTCTTCATTTTGGAGCCTGTAATAGTCTTCCAACAAGGAAGCTGTATCAGGAGTAATGCCCTGAAGGTAGTGTGTTCTGCAGCCTCGTGGGATAGAAGCCCGTGAGCAGGTTTTTACTATTTCAATAAAGAGTTTGTATTCCTCAGGGATTGGGGCGACCAATATGATCTTGTCATAGAACATATCCGAGAATTTAAACCAACCTGCCTTTCTGAAGTTGATCTTCATTTAAATCAAACTTCCTGAGGCCTTATAGTTGGGAACAAATGGCATACTATCGGCTGATGCTGTGTCTTTGGTATTGGTGGTCCCACTGATTTAGTGCATTGCTGCACAATGCTGTCACTCAAAAATAGGAGGCCAGGGTTATATCCTCAGTGCCATCTCCCACTCTTGTAGGATGGTCGGAGCTTACTATCATGAATAAACAATAGTTTATGCAATATAGCCCAGGAAAGGACACCTTCTCCATTTTTATCCTCCTGATCATAGCCCCATACATGGCTATGCGAGTTATATGCGAGTGTAGAGAAGAGCAAATCACAGACCACCTATTACAATGCACTCTGAGCCCTGCCACATGATAAATAAATAAATAAATAAATGTCATTTGCATATCTTAAATGCTGGTGTCCCCTCCTTCAATTTTCATGCCTCTTTCCTCCCAGTCCAAGCTTGCTGTACGTATACTATGTGCAGTGAACAAGTTGAACAGTTGAATTCTGAGTTTTATCTCATTTTCTATCACCTTTTAACATTCGCTTCTTGTATGTCCTTAACTGCCCAAAGGGTTTTATCTGTCATCCATTGAGGCTTCTCTTTTATTTTGGTTGCAGACACTGTCTTGCATTCTTTCCTAATAAAGCCTGTGACTTGAGTTCACAGATCAGGCTCTGGTCAATTAGGCTTAATAGTGCAGATCTATTTTTGCATCATCATTAAATTCTATGGGAATGTTCTTTATTTTGTATTTGGGCACAATGGTTGGTTTGCTGTTCTTCTTTCACTTTATTCTAATTTTTAATATTAGCAGTTCATGTTCCCATAATTTGCTCCTGGTTTTGTTTTTGCAGTGATAATATGGGTTGCACATCTCCAGACTTTTATCTTTGAAAAAATCAACACCTGAATATCCTTTCCATTAGCCGCAGCACTTCTATAGTAGTCTTCTTCTGCAATATCCCAGATCATTAAGATCATTGAATGCCAACCAATTTGGGAGTTCCATCCACTTGCACTGTCTTTTGCTCCCAAAGTTCTCCAAGTTATACCATCTCTGAGAGATTATCCACCAGTGTCACTCCCTGCTACTGTTGCTGCTCAGTAGTTGTTTGGCACATATAGTATGGTTCTTTAGCAAAAGCCTGTCCAACATGGGAGATCCTGGCCGAAACACTGCTACTATTAGCATAGATTCTTGCCTCATAGCACCACACAATCCTACAACATGGAAAGGCAGTGCAATTGGTGTCTACACCATGCTGGCTACAACATATAGCTATGTTGTATGTGGTGCTCCATATGCACACATGCTGAAAATTGAGAGTTAGGCCAAGCATCAATATCCAGCAGAAACCTTTGGATTGAATTGCTGTTGGAAGTGGTGTTGCAATAATAATCCTACAGTGCCATGTGCAACACAAGGAGCATTTTAACCAGCCTTAAAAAAAAAACCTGCAGAATTGAAGACTGCAGACCTTCTTGTGCTTAGAACCAACCATTATTTTATTTAATAACCAACCTTTTTCCTGATACAGGACTCAAGATGGCATCCAACAAGATTAAACAAGATAATGCAAACATGTAATGAAATAAAAATTAAAACATAATTAAGATTGCCAAAACACCATGAATATTAAAAAGCATAAAATTGTTTTAAATACATAAAAAAACTCATCAAAATACCTCTTAGCATAACCAGGGCTCAATGAACTGGGAGCTCCTGTGTAGTCACCCTACAACCCATAACTGGGTGGGGCTGAGATAGAAAACCCTCTTCCTAATAATCCTTAGACTGGCAATTAATTATAGGGAGATGGGTTCTGAGAGTCTGGTTATGCAAACACAAACGGCTGATTTCTTCTTCTTTTCTCTGTATTAGCAGGTGAATTGCTTTTATCTCCAGCAGACCACTATTGGGAATATCACCACCATCCCTTGCACTCTGATTTTGAGACCTTTGGGGACAACCACTTTGCAGAACTCCAAAGTGTACAGCCACCACAGCTGCAGCAGCTCTACCGGCACATGGAGATTGAACAGATGCATGTTCTAGACTCTGGCATCCCCGTTACACACCTTGGGCTTGGCCACAACCACCAGGTACAATCACCATCCCAGTTATGTAGCACTATTTAAATTCTGATTCTTTGAAAAAAAGCACAACTTCAATGTGATTGTCAAACACAAAGAAAAGAGACTATATAGAATAATGCTGTAGGAAATGAGATATGACATATGTAGTGGAAATAAGGCTACAAGACCAAGATTTGTAGCTAGGAGATTTTTAGGACCAACCTAGGAAGAACTTTTTGTAATGTTAAAGGAAACAACCTTGGTGGTGTAACAAATATGTAACAAATATGATTTTACAAGGGGCAGCTGGTGATGATGACATTACACATGATACATTATGCATCATCATCGTCATTATTTGGTTGCACAAAATATGCCATTTACATACAAAGACCAACTCAACTAGGAAATATATGCACATGCCCTTTTCAGCAGTGCTCTTGCCCTGAGATTCCTCCCCTTTAACCTCAGGTCCTCAGATGGAAATGATTGCTAATTGGTTGAATCAGTGCCCAAAATTTAGTGATTTCAGCTAGTTGCCCCACAAGCCATGAGGGTATCTGCCTGGTGAATAATCACTAATTTTTCCAATCCTAGCCATAATGAAGAATTGAGATCCACCAGGGTGCTGAAGGCAGGTGGCAGAAGTTTTATTCAAACTGAAGGTACACGAGCATGGACAAAAAAGCTCCAAATGTGCAAGTGTAGTGATTGGCCTTGAAGCCGTTGACATCACAGAGGTTCTCTTCCAAGCTGTGTGATGAATTCCCTACCTGTTAGGTTAGGAAAAGCCTAGGAAAGTAGGCCCAGGAAGTTTGGCAGCCATTTTGGAAAGGGTGCCAGGGTAATCCATTTTAGATACTCATTTCCTGAAGGGGTGTGTTTAGAAACAGCTTGGAGAGAAATCAGGGGAGTTAGTGATTGGCTGAGAGAGAGTGGGCGGAGGAAAAAGGAAAAAATGATTCTAAGGGTGTGTTCCTGTCAGCTCAGATGGAATCTGGGTGTCAAAGCAATCAGAGTTAGGAGTTTGGAGTGGAGAAGAGAATAGTGAGAGAGGCCTGAAGTTGGTCAGTTAGCTAGCAGAGATAGCTAGTGACAAGATTTTATAGCTATTAAGGAAGATAGCTGGTAGAGGAGTGTAGAGATAGATCCAGGAAGGGACTATCTGTGATGGAGTTTAGAATTACTTTCAGAGAAGAAATCCTGTCAGTAATTTCTGGAGGGAGAGAGGAGTGCTTATGTGCAACTAAGTTTGAATTGCTTAAAGAAACCACACACTTTTAAGTCAATACTTCTGAACAGCTAGGCATATTGCCTATTTTGTACAAGTTCTCTAAAATAAACATCATTGTTGTATTGTTCACAACATCTGTCTCACGTGTGCCTCTGTGGATGAAGTTTTAAAAGCAGTTTTCTGCAGCAATCAAAAGTCTGATGGTGGCAGTGTATATTTTAAAAGAGTAATCTTTTCAGGTTTCCTCAGAACACAAGCTTGAGTGCAAATCCAGCAAATCTGTATTGAGTGCAAATCTTCTGTAACAGATAGTTAAAACCCAAGGGCCCAAAGGAACCAAAAGGTATTTTGCCTGCCAGTGGAAAGAGCAGAGAGTAAATGCATGTAGGTTTCTGTGGAAGGGAGTTCCACACTTTGGGAGCAGCCTTTAAGAAAACTCTCTTCTATATTCTCACCAGAGACACTCCAAGTGGCCAGCTACTGGTCAAAGGATATTTAATCAATAAGCAAGCTTGCAAACTCTGTTTTGTCTGTTTGTTAAAAATTTGTTTAAAATGTAATACAATTATCTGGTTGCTACTGGGACGATAAATAAATAAATAAAATACCAAATATGTCTGTGATGGTGGTGGGGTGACAACAAGCCCTCCCCAACTATCTCAAAACTTTGACAGGCTCATCTTGGGAGATATGGCAAATTCAAGGAAATGAGTCAATTCCAAAGGGAAGCTGATAAAATTTAAAGCAGGGGTCCTCAAACCTTTTAAACAGAGGGCCAGATCACAGTCCCGCAAACTGTTGGAGGGCCAGATTATAATTTGAAAAAAACATGAATGAATTCCAATGCACACTGCACACATCTTATTTGCAATGCAAAAAACACTTTAAAACAATACAATAATTAAAATGAAGAACAATTTTAACAAATATAAACTTATTAGTTTTTCAATGGGAATTGTGGGCTGCTTTTGGCTGATGAGATAGGATTGTTGTTGTTGTTGTTGTTGTTGTGTGCTTTCAAGTCGATTCAGACTTAGGTTGACTCTGAGTGAGGGCCGGGTAAATGACCTTGGAGGGCCTTAGTTTGAAGACCCCTGCTTTAAAGTCATAGCATAGCCAACCAAGTGACGGTTATGGTGATTCAGTCACACGGCTTTGTTATGCTGATGGGTCCTGCGATTTTTTGCCCTACTTCTTTGTCCTGCATGATGATGCTGTGTGGAAGGGCCTTGAATGTCTGGTGGGCAGCTAAAATAGTATGGCTCCACGTGGCTTTTGTTCCTTGAAGCTGCTCTAGCTATTCCAATTGTTTTGTGGTGAGAAGGGCGGGATATTTATTATTTATTTATTTACTTCATTTATATACCGCTTTTCTCAGCCCTTAGATGACTCAAAGCAGTTAACAACAGCAACATTCAATGCTAAACATCATAAAAACAATTAAGGGACAGTTAAAACATTAGCATAATAGACAATTAAGCATCACTATAGAAATGTACGAAATAAATAAATAAATAAATAATTTTAAGGACTATTTTGGTCTGCTTTTAAAAGTTTATCTATGTGATAGTTAATATATATTTTATTGAGGTATAAAGTCCTCATTGTGACTCGATGGTTAAGGTCAGTAATTTTACACTTGATGATATGACAGGAAATGTAGACACACTGTTACCCAATCCCAGCTCTTCCTACACTAAACATCTCCAGTCAACATGCCAAGTCACTAACCGCCTGTCGTTGCACCCCTGTAGCAACCCAATTGCGTAGTCTTTAAGCTGAAGCATTTCGGAATAACCTCAACATCAACAGAAAAACATCAGATGTCCAGTGCCTGACCCACTGGGCAGCATGAGTCATGGACAAAATGTCCTTTCCCATGTTGCATTTCAAAGTGTCCCTTTCTGTTCAGATGCACTTGTCACGTATTTCCAGTAAATAGAAGCTCAATAACTCGCTTCTAGAGACAAACAAAACGGAGCAATTTCTCCAGCAAACCCTACTATGCCAGTGAGCTGGTATGATAATCCCCCAGGACGACAACATTTCATTTTAGTGATGGCTAGTATATATAGCTGGAGTTGCCTGAGTGTTGGAGATCCACTGCTCCCCTGCTTTCATCCCTTTCTTTCCTTCCCCCCTCTCAAACCTTACTCCCTTTCCTTTTTTCTTCCTTCCGTCTTTTTCTTTCTTTCTTTCCCTCCTCCCCTCCCTCCTTCCTTCCCTTCTTTATCCCTCCCTCATCCCTTCTCCTTTTCTTCCTTCCTTTCTTACTCCCCTCCCTTCCCTCCTTTTCCTCTCCCTTCTCCCTTCTCTAGGTCTGTGAAGGACCTACCTCACAATACCTCCATGACAACATAGCTCTCTTTGTGGCTCTTTCTTTCCTTCCTTCCTCCTCCTCTTTCCCCCTTCCCCCTTTCTTTCCCGGTGACATCACAGAGGGCCACTTCACCTAGTAAACAAACATACAGGGTCCTGAAGTGGAGAGTGGCTAAGAACCTATCAATAAGATTAAAAGAAAATGTATACAAAGTGATATGGAGATGGTATACCATGCCAGTCAAACAACATCAGATGGATAGTAAGCAAAGTAACCTCTGCTGGAGATGTGGCAAACACAAAGGGACATATTTTCATTTATGGTGGGAATGCCCCCAAGTGAAGAATTTTTGGAAGGATATATTTACCGAAATAAACAACATTATAGGATCAAATATTACGCCGGATGCTAGGGTAGCACTATTAATGGATACCACGAAGCTGAATGTAGAAACAAATAAGGATGCTTGCCATAGATGCAGGCGAAACGTCAGGAGAAATGCCTCTAGAACATGGCTCTATAGCCCGAAAAAACCCACAAGAACCTAAATAAGAAAGAATTCGTGACTATTTTGCTCACAGTGGGAAGAATTATAATAGCAAAGAACTGGAAAATAATAACTAATCTAACACTGGACGCATGATACAGGGAAGTTTGGAATGTAGCTTTAAATGACAAACTAACAATGGAAATGAGGGTATTCAGGGGGGAAATTAACAGGTCAGATTTTGAGGCATACTGGTCAGTCTTAGAGAGCAAAATATGTCTTAGAGAGCAAAAATGGAAAACAACAGAATTTGGTTGGTCAGGAATTTTGGAGATGACATTTGATTAAGGGTTGCTTTATGAATACATGGTGAAGGAAATTATACATGTTCAGGCCTTGGTGGTGAGGTTATGTGTTTGTAAAATGTTCACTGTTTTGTGTTTTGTCTATTCTGTAAGTTGTTATTGTATGTAAATAAAATCTTAAACTATTAAAAAACAAACAAACATACATACTTTGACTTTAATGTATATATATATATTTGAAAGAAAAACTACAGCTACATGTATGTTGAAAAGATTGCTCAAATTGTGTTCTCAATACTATGTGTCTCTTTTTAATGTATGAGTACACTGTGGTGTATGAATGAGGTTGGCTGTGCATTTACTCAGTCAGCAGATCCCATTAGAAAGAACAACAGTGCTTGCTAAGATAGAAGGCAGCCAGGAAAGAGGAAGGCCACATTATAGGTAGATTGACTCAGTCAAAGAAGACATGGCCTGGGTTGCAAGATCTGAGCAAGGTTGTTGATGGCCAGGTATCTTGGAGGTCTCTCATTCATAGTGTCACTCTTAAGTCAGAGTGAATTTGACAACAATTAAAAGCAAAACAGATACATTGTATATTACTTTGGTCTACATTTGTTTAGTTCTCTTTCCTCAGATACTCTTCAACTCCATCAACTTTCCTTATCTCCCACAGGTTACTTTTGTACCTCGCATGTGTGTGTACCCCCCTCATCCACGCAGTTCAGATGAAGAAGACCTAGAAAGACAGAGCCCCCCACTGGAAGTATCAGATGGGGAGACTGATACTGGGGAAACTGTTCCTGGAATTATGAATGGAGAAGCAGGTGAGCCCACAAGATGTGAAGATTGCATTCAGCACCGTGGCCCACTTGACCCTATTGTTTTTTTCTAATCCATCTCTGTGACCACCTTTCGTTAATGTAGCAGAGTCAGAGGGTAACCGTAAGACCAAAGTAAGGGAGAGGCATGGTGAGGGAAAATTATTTTGAAGCAAGATTATTTTTTAGAAACTGAAGAGTTATTAAGCTTTCAGAAATGTCAAGGAAAAGCAGCTTAAGCATTTCAATAGCTTTCTGACCCCTACCATCAACTAGGCAATGCTTCCTAAAAATAGCAATAATAATCTGAAATGTAAAGGAAAGTTTCAACACCAGTAGTTCATTCTTACTTGATGCTTGTTTAGTAGTTTTCCATTATGGCATAAGGTCTCGAGACCATGCCCTGTGAGGAGCTTCTTAAAGAACTGGGTATGATTAGCTTGCAGAAGAGAAGGTTGAGAGCAGACATGATAGTCATGTATAATTATGTGAAAGGGTGTCATAAGGAAGAGGGGGCAGGTTTATTTTCTGCTGCCCTTGAAACTAGGACTCTGGACAATGGGTTCAAATTACAGAAAATGAGTATGAGCTGTTCAACAATGGAACTCTCTGCCTCGAAGTGTGGTGGGTGTTCCTTCCTTGGAAACTTTTAAACAGAGGCTGGATGGCCATTTGTCAGGGATACTTTGTGCTTTTCCCGCATAGCAGGAGGTTTAACTAGATGACACATGTGGTCTCTTCCAATTCTATGATTCTGTGATTCTATGAACAATACTTCGGTGTCAACAATGTTCAAAACACTTTAAAGGTATTTTATGGCACTTGGCAAGCCAAAATAGTCACATTAAATCCACACACACCCCCGAGTTGGACACGACTAGACTTAATGTCAAGGGGAAACCTTTACCTTTACTATTGTCAGTGGTTGTGAAATGACTTTTGCTAGTTCCTTCGATACTCTTGGATGTGGTTCATCTGGCCCTGGAGACTTGAATTCATTTAGAATAGACTACTTCTTTACTTATTTTGGATTTATTTATTTATTATTTATCACATTTATATCCTGCCCTTCTCAACCCTGAAGAGGACTCAGGGTGGCCTTACAAAGACAACAATTCAATGCCATATATTAATACATAGGTAAATAAACAAAATTGTTAAAACCAAACCCATTAAAATATAGCATTAAAACATCAATTAAAATCACATGATTGCATTTCCCCTATTACCTCATCCACTCTTTATTGCTCAGTTTGAACACCAATCTCCTTTTGGGAGAAGACTGAGGCAAAGAAGATGTTGAGCAGCTCTGCCTTTTCCCTATCCCCTGTTAACTTTTCACCACCTTCTCCATGCAGAGGCCCTTCTGTTTCCATTTTCTTCCTTTTTCTACTGACATAACCAAAGAACCCTTTTTTGTTGATTTTAATCTCTCTGGCAAGCTTGAGTTCATTTTGTGCCTTAGTCTTACAAACCTTTCCCCTACATATGTTGCTTATTTGTTTGAATTCCTCTTTGATGATTTCCTCTCTTTTCCATTTCTTGTGCATGTCTCTTTTAAATCTTAGATCAGTTAAACATTCTTTGGACATCAATTCTGGTTGTTTTACATTACTCTTATTATTTTTCTCCTTGCTGGCACAATTTGCAATTGTGAAAACAGTGCCTCACTTTTAAAAAAAGAATCCCATCTATCATTAACTCCCTTCTCTTCTGGTATTTCTGTTGTGTCTTCAAGTCATTTCCACTTTATGGCAATCATCAGAGAAGGCTGAGAGGAGATATGATAGCCATGTATAAATATGTGAGAGGAAGCCACAGGGAGGAGGGAGCAAGCTTGTTTTCTGCTTCCCTGGAGATTAGGACGCGAAACAATGGCTTCAAACTACAAGAAAGGAGATTCCATCTGAACATGAGGAAGAACTTCTTGACTGTGAGAGCCGTTCAGCAGTGGAACTCTCTGCCCCGGAATGTGGTGGAGGCTCCTTCTTTGGAAGCTTTTAAACAGAGGCTGGATGGCCATCTGTCAGGGGTGATTTAAATGCAATATTCCTGCTTCTTGGCAGGGGGTTGGACTGGATGACCCATGAGATCTCTTCCAACTCTTTGATTCTATGATTCTATGATCAAGTGATCATATCATGAGGTTTTCGTTGAAATATTTTTTTAAAGTTGTCGTTTATTCGTTCAGCCGCTTCCAATTTTTCATTACCTCATGGACCAGCCCACACCAGAGCTCCCTGTCGGCCGTCGCCACCCCCAGCTCCTTCAAGGTCAAGTCAGTCGCTTCTTAAGGATACCATCCATCCATCTTGTCCTTGGTCGACCCCTCTTCCTTTTTCCTTCCATTTCCCCCCACACCATTATCTTCTCCAAGCTTTCCTGTTGTCTCATTACGTGTCCAAAATACTTAATCTTTGCCTTTAATATCCTTCCCTCCTGTGAGCAGCTGGCCATTATTTCCTGGAGTATGGACTGGTTTGATCTTGCAGTCCAAGGCACTCTCAGAATTTTCCTCCAATGCCACAGTTCAAAAGCTTCTATCAGATTAAATAGATCTCTGGGGAAGATAATGGCAACCCACCCCAGTATTATTGCTATGAACACTAAATGGATCAGTACAACTAGATATTTTTTAAAGAAAGGGGTTGAAAAATGGCCACAAATCTTATTCTCACACCCAAAGGCACATTATAGAGACATTACATATTTGAAAAGCTGTCTTGGATACATATTTATGCTGATGACTTCCGTGACGAAGGGCTGAGATTTCCCTTAGCTTTGTGTGCCTGGGAAATTCTTTCCCTTTGGGTGACATAGCTATTCAGGGGAAAGACCTTACTTCTTAGAAATATACAAAACATTTCTGAATCCGTGACATTTACTTTTAATACTGGCAGAAAGCTCCTTTCTGAAAACTTAGCCAGTTGTGGCCAGCCAATATGTTTTTGTTTATTTATTAATACATTTTATGTCATGCCTTTCTCCCAATATGAGATCTAAAGTGGATTACAATATGAGTTAAAACAAAATCACTAAAACAATACGTGGTACAAATGTTTATAAAGCATTAAACCATCAACCCATTGAAAATGTTGATTTAAAATAACTAAAATGGCACATCCATATCCTTCTACTACAGTCAATGAAAAGATGAAGCCTTATTTGAAAAGCCTTTGCCTACTGGAAAAAATAGGAAAAGAGAGGCAGCCAACTAAGCCTCCCTTTCATAGCCTGGGAGCAGCTAGTGCAGCATTTCTCAACCTGGGGGTCGGGACCCCTGGGGGGGTCATGAGGGGTTTTTAGAGGGGTCACCAAAGACCATAAGAAAATATATATTTCTTTGGCAGAGAAAGCTGAAGATCTCTCTGGGTGTCCTTTTCCTTTTTTTGGAAGCAGTCAGCAAATCCTCCCACCAAAAGCCCTCCTCCACTGTGATTGGCCAGGTTGTCAGCCAAGGGGAGGGCTGTTTCTGAGACTCCAAGCAGAGAGGGGAGAGCAGGCATGCTAGGCACATGGCAGCATGGTGCTCGGATGAGAGAGAGTGTGTTAGGTTGGAGGGAGGCTTGTGCCAGCAAGTCCCTTCAAGATGGGGTTGTGTATGGGAAGTTTGGCCCAATTCTATCATTGGTGGAGTTCAGAATGCTGTTTGATTGAAGGTGAACTATAAATCCCAGCAACTGCCATCCCAAATGTCGTTCTATTTTCCTCAAACTTCAACAATATTCACATTTGGGCATAATGAGTATTCATGCCAAGTTTGGTCCAGATCCATCATTGTTTGAGTCCACAGTGCTCTCTGGATGTAGGTGAACTCCAATTCTGAAACTCAAGGTCAATGCCCACCAAACTCTTCCAGTATTTTCTGTTGATCATGGGAGTTCTGTGTGCCAGGTTTGGTTCAGTTGCATCATTGGTGGAGTTCAGAATGCTCTTTGATTGTAGGTGAACGATAAATCCCAGCAACTACAACTCTCAAATTACAAAATCAACCCCCCCCCCCACGCAACCCCACCAGTATTCACATTTGGGCATATCGGGTATTTGTGCCAAATTTGGTCCAGTGAATGAAAATACATCCTGAATATCAGATAGTACATTACGATTCCTAACATTAGCAAAATTACAGTTATAAAATAGCAACAAAAATAATTTTATGGTTGATGTTCTGGAACAGCTGTTCCAGGAGCTCCAGATTTATTTGCTGTGTTTAAATGTTTGTGTGCAATCCCATGCTTGGGATTTTGCAGCAGGGGGTTTCCTGTTATAATTTGCATTTATAGGGTAAGCCACCTGCCAGTTATAGTTAGGTTCCTGATCCCGCCCCTTTTTGAGTTTTGGAGGGAAAAAAGCCATTTTGAGTTAGTTCTCACAGAGAAGCCTTTCGCACAGGACATAGAACGAAGTGGCTCCTGTAGAAAAGCTTCGTCTTTTACAGCTTGGCCGGGGTTATACAGCCCTACGGCTTGGCCAGGAGACATACAGCCACAGCTTGGCTGAGGGACTCCAGCCGGCCATCACAGCAACCTGAACTCCTTCTTTTTCCCTGGAGGTCTACAAAGCTCTGTTGAGGCAAGGGTCACTCGCGGAAGCCAGACGCAGTTGGTACCGGGTGCAGGGGCTCCACGTCAACAGAGGCAAGTGACAGACTGCCCAGATTAGAAGCTAGGATTTCCCCATCAGTTAGTTACAGTTAAGAAGACAGTGCCTGTTCCTAGTGGACAAGATTTGAGAGAACTGATACTTTAAAGCTCTACAATTTCTGTTTGTTTTCATCAATAAAAGAACTTTGTTGGACTTACTTTAAGCATTCTAAAGACTCTGTTTGGGGGAATCTAAGGGCCTTTATTCTGAGGCAGCCCCGGCGTCCCGTTGGGCACAGAGAATTTATGTCCTGTGTACAGTCTAATGTACAGGCCCAGCGTGCGACAGCACAGTAAAAGACGGAGCTGGTGGCTTCTGCCACCCGGGAATAGAGAAAAAGACTTTACAGCTACAGAACAGTGTTTTAAGAAGCTTGTACAAGTCATTTCAAGTCTTCATTACCTGGATCCATCCATCTGTGTGTGTCTGAGGAGTTTCGGCCATCTTGAAGAGGAGCCCATCTGTTCGTGCTTCTTCATTTTCGGCCATTTTGGAAGACCAGAAGGGAGGGGCTGGCAGCCTCCTTCTTTGCTTCAGCTCTCTTCCCACCATTTTGAAGATCTACTCAGTTTGCAAGTTGCTACATTTCTCCTCCAGCTTTTGCCCAGCAGGTCTTCCCGTCCTTTCTAAAGTATCTACATAGCAAGCTCTGCTAGGTCCTGCTACAGTTTCCAGCAGAAGCAAGCTTTGCCGCTCTTTTTAAACAAGCCTTGTTTCTGCTTTGCCTTTCAGATTTCTGGAAAGGGTTTTTTGCAATCGCCTTTGGCTTTTTACAGCCTTTCAGCAAGAGTTTGATGTTCATTTGAATTATTGTGTCTGCTATGTTTATTCTCTGCCTTAAAGTGATAAGTTTGAGTGTGCTAATAGCTGTCTTGATATTTGTCTGCTCTATCTGTTGTTGCAATTGCATTTTTATGCTGTTTGCTGCGTCCTATTGAAATGGCATTGTTATATTGCTTGCCCTATCTGTAATACCTGCATTATTACACTGACTGCTTTATTACTGCATGCTCTATCGCCTGCTCTTTGTGCTTATGATTGCATTTTATATTGTGTGTTCTATTGACTGTTGGTTATTGATATACTGATTGCTCCAATTGGCATTTTACCTGTATTGCTATACTGTTTGGGCAATTTGCTGTCATGGCTCACATCTCAGGTTCCCCAAAGGCTTTAAGTGTACAGAGCAGTCAGGGAGGTGCTTCTGGCCAAAGCAAGCACAGCCACACCAGCAGGAGGCATAGCAGCAGACATGGCTCCGCATCAGGATCATCTGTCTCCAGAAGCAGCTCCTCATCTATGGCGGCCCTTTACAACAGGGAAACAAGGCATCTCAAACTGCAAGAAAAAATCCTAGAAGCGGAAGCTGAGGCCGCAGCTGCAGATTTAGGCCTGAACTTCGAGCGGGCTCAACTAGAGTTAGAGGCGAAGCAAAAGCAGTCACAAGCCGAGTTAGAGGTGAAGTTAAAGTTGTTGCGCATCCAGCAGGAGGCAGCGCAGAAAAGAGTCCGTGCCGACATCTTGGCAAAGGCACTGCAAGGAGAACTGTCTCAAGAAAATGTCAACCTTTTGCCAACGCCTCCAACCACGTCTCTTCTGCCAGCCCACGTTGGTTTCCAAGACGGCAAGCTGGTGCATGCGGACAGCGACATCACGCCACGCAGACTGGTCGAGCAATTCAGGGCCAGGAGCTCACAGCCGCCAACTCAGGCACCAAAGCCCAGCCCAGAAATCAGAGTTTCGCCCATTCCTGAGGTCACAGGTGTTCCTTGGAATGGACCTTCGACATTTCAGAAGAACTTCACCTTTACCCCTGACCAAACACCCCTTCCGTTCCTTCAGACTCCTCAGTTGCAGCTTGAGTCTTTGTTTAGGAACCCGAGAAAAGATTTGAGGGACAAAGGTGTGGAGAAATTCTCTGACCGGCCAGAAGATTTCCTACTTTGGAGAAAGACTTTTCAGCGAGCCATTCAGAGTTTAAGACTCTCCTCTGAGGAACAATTGACTCTTTTGATCGCCTGGCTTGGTCCAGTATCGGCTCAGCAGGTGAGAAGGATTTTCTCAGCTCTCATCGACCAACCGGATAGAGCACTGGATACCGCATGGATGAGGCTTGACCCGCGCTACGGATCCAGCACCCAAATTGAAGCCTCGCTGATGGACAGACTTCATCAGTTCCCGGTGCTCAAACCAAAAGACTTTGAACAGCTTTGGGACTTGTCAGACTTATTCATTGAGCTTCAGTCTGCCAAGGGAAACCCACAGCTTCCAGGGTTTGCCTGCCTGGACCAACACCTGTCCCAAACTGCCATCATCCAGAAGCTGCCATTCTCCTTACAAGAAGAATGGGGCAAAGAAGTCTTCAGATTCAAGCAGGCCAACCATCAGGTCTACCCACCGTTTGCACATCTTGTAGATTTCGTCACAAATGCAGCCATGCAGTTCAATGACCCACAGACAGAATTTCCAACTCTTTATGGGACCCCAAGGATGGACAGGCCCATCAAAGACCCTAAGAAACCTGCAGACAGTGGCACCAAAAGAAACATCACCGTCAAGTCCACGGAGACCAACTCATCTCCAGCTGACCCCGAGGATGTCTTGTGCCCACTGCATGCAAAGCCCCACAGTTTGGCCGATTGCAGGGAGTTTGCCAAGAAGCCTCACGCAGACAAGGTCGAGATCCTCAAAAGCTCCAGGATTTGCTTCAGGTGCTGCGGTGCAACTCCCCACCAGTCAAAGTCATGCAAAGAAAAGGTGAAGTGCGAGGTGTGCCAATCCAAAAAGCATTGCTCAGCCATGCATGACAAGGATTTCGTGCCCTCCAAGGTCAAGAGCGGGGCCACCAGTCAACGCTCCCCAGAAGATTCAGCTGGACCTTCATCGGGCACTGAGGCACCCTCTGTGGCCTGCACACAGCTGTGCGGCAGCCCAAAGAAGACTAGGATTTGCCACCCCATTTGTTTGGCAGAGGTTTTTCCTGCCAGCAAGCCATGGATGAAGAAGAAAATGTATGTGGCCCTTGACAACCAAAGCGACGGTTCCCTGGCCACCCCTGACTTCTTCAAAATCTTTAAGGGGCAGGCAAAGACTATTGACTATTGTATTTCTACTTGTACAGGCAAACAACGAAGACAGGGCCGCGTTGCATCTGGATTTATCATTTCGCCATGTGGCAAAGACATTTGTTTTGAGTTGCCTGACCTTATTGAGTGTGCGTCCATCCCACGCAATAAGGACCAGATTGCTACCAGAGAGATGATGCAAGCGCATCCTCACCTGAAAGGACTACAGGACCTCATTCCACCCTTTGAGCCAGGTATTGACATAGTCCTGCTCATCGGATTCAACTGCCCCAGCTTGATGAGCATCCGAGCTGAAAAGAGAGGTCCTCCTGGTGCACCTTTGGCACAGAAGACTCCTTTAGGATGGACCATACAGGGACCTGTATGTGTCGACAGAATGCATCCTCCGTCTTCTCTGTGTCCAGATCAGCCCAACACCCTCAATTGTGGCAGAGTCACCCTCATGCAAAGTTGCCTCAGCCACATTTCTGTTTGCTGCCAAGGAGTTTCATCTGAGTTCTCTTCCATCTTCGACGTGTCCCGGGACGACGAGAACACAGCGCTCTCCCGAGATGAACAAACGTTCCTGAACATCATGACTCTCAGCGAGGAAGGGAACTGGATCGCCCCTTTGCCCTTCAAAGCAGACCGGCCTACCCTGCCTCCCAACAGACAGGTAGCAGAGAAGAGACTGCAGTCTTTAAGGCGCAAGATGCAGCGTGATCACAAGACCAAACAGCAAATCGGTCAGGCTCAAGTTTTACACCAGCTGAGCATCCCACGCCAATTCACGGCCAGGAGCCCTTTACAGAGCTGGCACACCGATCTCCATGTCTTTTGCGATGCGTCGGAGAAAGCTATCGCAGCTGTGGCTTATGCCAGACAAAAGGGCTCTAGTTCTTGCACTTTAGGTTTTGTTATGGCCAGGGCCGAGACTGCTCCATCTGATGCCACCTTCCCTAAGTTAAAAGTGCCCCCAGATAGGACCCAGTGTCAATAGGTATTTGAGTACAGAAAAGGTTTCATGGTTGTTTAATGTACTGCATGCGTCTCACATGGGGGTGGGTGGAAATGTATGATTGGTTTGTGTAGAAAGATTTTAAATGCCATGTTTCTAAAGTATAAGAATTTGACTCACGATGTTTTGGTCCGTTTATTATAGTGTAGATTTCTCATCATTGAGAAATCTAGGCCAGGAGTGTTCTGGAACAGCTGTTCCAGGAGCTCCAGATTTATTTGCTGTGTTTAAATGTTTGTGTGCAATCCCATGCTTGGGATTTTGCAGCAGGGGGTTTCCTGTTATAATTTGCATTTATAGGGTAAGCCACCTGCCAATTATAGTTAGGATCCTTGGTCCTGCCCCCTTTTTGAGTTTTGGAGGGAAAAAAGCCATTTTGAGTTAGTTCTCACAGAGAAGCCTTTCGCACAGGACATAGAACGAAGTGGCTCCTGTAGAAAAGCTTCGTCTTTTACAGCTTGGCCGGGGTTATACAGCCCTACGGCTTGGCCAGGAGACATACAGCCACAGCTTGGCTGAGGGACTCCAGCCGGCCATCACAGCAACCTGAACTCCTTCTTTTTCCCTGGAGGTCTACAAAGCTCTGTTGAGGCAAGGGTCACTCGCGGAAGCCAGACGCAGTTGGTACCGGGTGCAGGGGCTCCACGTCAACAGAGGCAAGTACAGACTGCCCAGATTAGAAGCTAGGATTTCCCCATCAGTTAGTTACAGTTAAGAAGACAGTGCCTGTTCCTAGTGGACAAGATTTGAAAGAGCCTATAGACTGTTAAGAAAACCGTTAAAGTACCTGTTTGTTCCTGTTTGTTCCTTAATAAAAGAACTTTGTTGGACTTACTTTAAGCATTCTAAAGACTCTGTTTGGGGGAATCTAAGGGCCTTTATTCTGAGGCAGCCCCGGCGTCCCGTTGGGCACAGAGAATTTATGTCCTGTGTACAGTCTAATGTACAGGCCCAGCATGCGACAGCACAGTTGAGGTCCCCACATCATGAGGAACTGTATTAAGGGGTCATGGCATTAGACAACTAGTGAGAAGGCTCTCTCATGTCATCCTCAGACATGACTGTGAGGATGGTAGAATGCAGAGAAAGCCACCCTCCAAATATCATAAGAATCAAACAGGTTTAGCTCACTATAGTGTTTAGTTCCTATTGAATTTAGATGGATCAATAGCCCAAGACAGTTTTTATTGTTGTCACGAAGGTACCTCACATATTTCTTTTGTCTATTTCTTCCTATAGGCAGTAAGAAAAAAATCCGACTGTATCAGTTTCTTCTCGACCTACTTCGGAGTGGAGATATGAAGGACAGCATCTGGTGGGTAGATAAGGAAAAGGGGACTTTCCAGTTCTCCTCCAAACATAAAGAAGCCCTGGCTCACCGCTGGGGCGTTCAGAAAGGTAACCGCAAGAAAATGACCTACCAGAAAATGGCACGAGCATTGAGAAATTACGGCAAGACTGGAGAGGTCAAGAAAGTCAAGAAGAAGTTGACCTATCAGTTTAGTGGTGAAGTGATGGGCAAGGGCGGCATGGAGAGAAAGCACTATGCTCTTTGAATGGAAGTCCTGAATTTTGAAAAGTCAAAAAATAAGGATACATGAGCTGGACTTATGGCACTGATGAATGGCCGAACAATACATGTAACCCTATGCCTGCCATACCTGCCATTTTGAGATATTCCAAAATCGAATGCCTTTGGTACGAATTTCTTTCTTCCAACAAGCTGGCCATAGCTGCGGGTTTTAAAAAGGAAAGAAATGTATAGCTATGTCATTTTGAGAAAGTATGCTCTAATTAAAATATGAGCTTGGATGAAAGATGTTTTTTGTCCTTTGCTTACAGCTTTTGAAGCAGCATTAATGGCTCTGCTATATTTCTCTATAGCTAAAGAGAAATTTGCAGGTTCTGAAAATATGCCTAATGATATTAATAACGTGTAAATATTTTTTTAAAGTGAGATATATTCTGAATGCTTATTCTCTGCTTTTCTGGATACGATTATTTTGTTTTATTCCTCATCTTATTTTTTCAAATTAATGGATCAAATTGTGATTAAGGGCCCTTCCAGACAGTCCCAAAATGCGGGATCTGTCTCGGTTGTTACCGGAGGCATCCAAACAATGCCTCCTGTAAAAATGAATTAATTCATTTAAATTAAGTACCTCATTAGATCTGGGCCTCAAATACCTCGTTAGATCTAGGCCTTTCTTAAAGGTGAGTCTCCCAGGTGTGAGCCTCCACAGTCATCTTGCTTCTTCGGGCTTTGAAAAGCCCAGAGGAGCAGGATGGTGCCTCCCTTCCCCCCAGCTCCCCATTTTGCACTAAATCTTACTTTTAAAGTCCTTGGCCACCTTTAATCCTCCTCTTGTATCCTCCTAGCTCGAAAAAAAATGGTGTGCAAGCAGAAAGGGGGTGAGGAGGGATTTTTCTCCTCAATCCTCCCATCTTCTCAGGCATCATTTTCTCGCATCAGGAGAATGTGAGAAAAGGATTGACGGTGGCCAGGGACCTTGCTAGTAAGCTTTCACAAGTAGATTGGGGGCTTCAGGGTAGCTTCATGCTATCCAGATTTCAATTGGGATGGCATGTAGCCACCCCAAATTCCCCCCCACCCCCCACCCCCCCGGGAAAGCTTGCGGTTTGGGTGTGTGAGTGGGAACTAGAACCTGTGCTGAAGCGGGTTATTTAAACCTGCTTCAGCATGGGTTTTCTGCCTATGTAGAAGCACCCTAAATGAGAATATCAATCTGACTGACCACCTGTGAAGCACAGTTATAAAGGGAACCTGCAATTGCATTTTGTCATGACAATGGCAACTTCTTTTATTTTTAAATACATATTCCATTCACAGAATCATGAGTTGGAAGAGACCGCATGGCCATCTAGTCCAACCCGTCTTTTTCCACATCCATAATCCCCACTTTAAAGGCCTACAGTATTTGTTTATTTATATATCTGTTTTAAGTATTTGCAGAATTTGGAAGGACTTCTAAAGGCAATTCCAAACTAAAAGATTGTAAACTAACCTAAATCCCTTCTACATCACCATATAATCCAGATTATCAAAGCAGATAATCCACATTGAATTGGATTCTGTGAGTCTACACTGCCAGATAATCCAGTTTAAAGCAGATAATCTGGATTTTATATGGCAATGTAGAAAGGGCCTAAGAAGGGTCAGTTTCTCTCACTATTTGGAAGGCAGACTATCTGGGAGTACCAAGTACTGTTCAGAGAAAGTCAGTGGTAAACTACCAATGATTTTAAATTCATGGATTTTCACGTCAACAGACAACTTGAAGGCACCTATCGTATTTCACCAATTTTAAGCTTTAGGGGCTCCAAAAAGAGGGCAGTACTTTACAATTGATGGTGCCTTAGATTTGAGGGTTTCAGGTGTTTTCTTTAATTAGCTTACCTCTGAGGCTGGATCTACACTGCCGTATATCTCAGGATCTGATACCAGATTATCTGCTTTGAACTGGATTATATGAGTCTACACTGCCAGATAATCTGGTATAATCAGATAACCCCGGGATATAGAGCAGTGTGGAAGGGGCCTGAGAGAGGAAGAGAAGAAGGAAGGGTCCTAGCTCTCGATGGCTGCAGTTTGGGATTTTTAAAAATTGGTTCACTTCCAAGAAAGGAGAAGGGGGAGAGGCTGGCTGAGCTAAGCGCCATTTCCTGCTCCCCCAATGGCCCATCAAACTGGTAAAAAAATGCATGCAGATAAGATGACTTCCAGGTTGAAACAAAAACAAGCATTATGCTTGCAGGAGAAATTCATAATCACTAAGCATTAGTCCAGTGATTCCCAACCTTTTTTCTTTTTTCTTTATTTTTTGACAAATAATTCTTATGATTCAAAAAGTGAACTGCTTTTGTAGAGAAAGCCTAAAATGCCATTATTTGATCAAAACAAGGTTCCAAAGAATATGGCCTCCATGACAGAGCATAATAAAAGACCAAATTTATTTGAGTAATCTGTATCGAATTCACAATATTTATTTATAGTCTTTAAATGTTTTACTTTATTAATTAATTTTATCCAATTGTCTATTTCTCTCTAACTTAATTCCTCTGTCCAGACTTCTATCAGGTTATATTTTGGTCTGTATTTTTTTCTGTGATTATTTTGTATATGAATCCCATATTTCCTTTCTCCTTCTCTACTTTCCATTTTATTATTTTGCCAGGATCTGTTTCTTTACTTTTCCATTCTTTTAGCTTTTTAGACAACCCTCCCTATAGTATCCAGTTTTCACGCTTGCACTTGTGAATATTAACTGGTGAATATTAAACTACATTTTAATTGTGTGATTTTGTGTTGTATATATTTTAATAGCGTTCTGTTTTATCAGTCTGATTTGTTCCTGTTGTACCTCACCTTGAGTCACAAGGAGAGGTGAGCAATACAATTATTGATACTGTAGCATAACTCCCATCAGCTCTAGTCATGATTTCTAATTATGAGTAATACACGAGTTGTAGTCTAGCATCTGGAGGGCAACATAAAATGACATGGTGGATCGAATTCAATCCACAGGCCTTGAGAGATCCAGACTATTATGACTTGAGGAAATCCTTATAATGTTTAATAGTCCATTGATTATATAAATGTTTCCACTATAGAAGAAGATGAAGGAACTTTTTGGTATGTCCATATGAACCCGTTCTGTGATGTGTCTGCAAAACAGTCACTAAACCTACAATGCAGATTGGATCTTATGCATTATCTTTCCAACACTGCCACCTGGTAGCCAGCAGCACAATAGCAGGAGGAATGGAGGGAGGGCAACATCATGTACCACGCCCTTGGCCTTTAAACATGAGAACAAGTCTGAACTCAGGAAATATATCGTTTAAAACAGGACAGCTGGAAAGTTTGCGTAAGAACCACCAACAGAATGCAGTGGCTACACAATCTTCAGAATGGAAGAGAGAAGGGCAAAACTGAAGAGCCTCTTTGGTCATGTGGATACCATAATCCACCAAACTGTATGTCATTACAGCAGCAATATATGGGATTAAAATAGTTTTTACTACTTTTTGATTGTAAAGAAATAGGAAAAGCTTTCACTAGTTGGGTGTTATGGGAGCTAAAATCTGAAAAGCAACTTGTCCAAAATATTGTTTTGTTGTGAAGTTAGGAAAACCCAAAGGGAGGACTCACATGTCTCATGAACCTCAGAGATGTGAAACAAAATGCTGTACTGTTGGGTTGGCCCAAGATGTTTTGCTACCTGCAGAGTAGCAGCAAACAACTCGTGCCAACGTTCATAGTACTCAAAGCTAGGCAAGTTATTTTGGCACCTGAGACAGAAAATCCCACAAGTATCTCATGTCATTCTATAATGGTAAAATACACAGTAAATGTAGAAAGAATTTGGTACCATTTCATGTCACCCAAAATGTCTTCCTGAGGTAACCAGTTCACTCTGCCCAGTGGTAGGACTGTTGTTAATGTTCACTTGTATATGGAGACACATTGTTCCTCACCATCAAGTGTTTCTTACAACCTATATTTGTAAAAGTAACCAATGTTACCACAATGTCAGATTTATGCAGCTGGATACCACTTTAACTTCTCTGGGAGTTGTAGTTTTACAAGGCCTTTAGCCTTCTTTGTCAAAGAGCACTGGTGTCTTGCTTTCCAGAAGGACAAATCAGACACAGAAGAGGCAAAGGCAAAAGCAGAGGTTTTATTCTCAATAGTCAAAGAGGATGTCAGTGGAGCAAGTACTCAAAAGTAGTGACATACCTCAATTGTGAATACAGAGCATTTTTATTTCATTTGACAGCTATTCAAGAAACCAGCTCTTGTTCCTGATTGGCTCAGACACTGTCCAGCCAGGATTTGCACCTTGATTGGCCCAGAACTCTATGCAACATCATTGCTGGTTGGCTCTTTTGTGGTGGCAGGAAATTTAATAAATTGTCATTTGAGCATATGAAGTGTCAATCTGTTTATCGATCCACCTCTGAGAGAGGCACAATCGGAAAGGAATGTGGTGTGGTGTTGGGTAATGGACTTATGATAAGCGCAGTGGTTTGACTCCGGTGGAAACAATGGCGTTAGTTCAAAGTACACAATAGGTGCTTGAAGAAGATGGTCATTTTAATGGGTAAGGCTGGCTTGGGGCATGGGGGATGGATCATTCCCACAGGTAGTCCCGATCTTATTAAAGCAGGAAATGGACCCAGAAACTGACGCCAATTCATTGTGTGCTGTCCTCACATCTTCCAGTTCCTTGTGAGGGGATTATGGAACTTGAAGGAAGGGGTCCAGGTGTCTCCAAAGACAATTAATTCATAACTAAAGTTTACCAAAAGACAATGCTCCCAATGGAACTGCACCTCATATTTTATATTTCATAATTAGCAGGTCTGATTTCTCGATATCATATTGATTTGGTACCAATTGGAAACAAGCTCCACATTTGGGTCCTTTCAAACTGACAAAGATGATACAGCCTAACTTGAGTGTGTTTGAACCCCATAGGTTTTAATGAGAGAGAAATATACCTAGACCAAATGTCCCCATTAAAATAGACAGGATAGAGCAGTATCTATCTATGTATGTGTGAATTACACAACAGTGTCTGAATTGCTGTTAGAGGTTATATATGTGTGCTAACCATAAAGATGCAAACCGTGCAAGATGTAGAGGGCTAGGAAAAGAGCATCCTTATGAATGTCGGGATTTGCATAAATCTACCATCAAATAAACAGCAAGGCCTTGGGTGGTTCACACTCCCTGACACATGGAATCCAGCTATATTTATCCTGGCAAAAGAACTCTGTCAAGTGCTCTGTACTGTTGATAAGGTGGTGGTGCTGACAACAGTGGGAGAGCAAGGGGAGGAGCTGGAGGGGGGGTTGCCAGTGGTATTTCTTTGGCTGGGGTGGGGGTCTAGGGATTCATTCAGCCTCTTTGCACTCCCAGTTACTTCCTGGCTTTTCACCTCTCAAGCTGACCTTAAGATGCCGGAACCAGGAAAGAAACCAGGTAAGGAGCACAACTGGAGATGGAGGGAATGACCGTATCTCCCCTATTTTCAGAGCACAACTGCTAGGTGGAGCAGCTTTCCTCATGCCACAGCGAAACCAGATGCCTTAGTAATGGGGATACCCGGGTGGGGAGATAAACAGGTGGTTTTCTTTTGAAGTAAGTGCATAGGAGATTAATTCAAGGGTAATTAAATTAAGGAGGATTAGTTTATTAAAGAAAAACCACATGGCAACCATATGCATACATCCTGGTAAGGGGGAAAGTGAAAATGCTTTGTTTTCTAAGTTATTTCTTTCCTCTTCTCATCAGCATCCCAGAAACTTTCTGAGTAGAAATGGGCCTTGCATTGGGTTTTCCCCTCCTTTATGATCATCCAGGAGAAATGAAAGTTTACAGTGGAATGAGAAAAAGAGGCATTTGAGAGTTCGATATCTCTCACTAAGATTAGTCCTTGTAGTCATCCATAAATAGTAAATTTATCTCCTTCCTCTCTGTTGAAAGAGAATATGAGGACACGGTGTATTTTGTCACCAGGAAAATCACTTGATAGATTATTTTACTGACGGGATGTTGAGATTTAGAGAACGAAGACAAATTTTAAGGCTGCAATTCTTTGCATCTCATTTTAATTGTCTACAGCCATAAAATAGAATTCTTTAGGATTTCTCTAAATAGCAACAGCTGTCTTTTTGTAAGATTTACACCTACATTTTCTCCCACATTCTGTAATTATTAGCTAACTTGGTTCATTGCTGTGTTTTGAATCTTATGTGTAATCAATTAACTTTTATATGCCAAAATATAAGGTCAATAAAAGGTCTCTCATCTATCATCAACTATATGGAGGAGACTATTTATCCAATATCTGCTGACTTAAGAAAGGGATTTTCTTTCCTGTGGTGCTTCTGCACATTGTACTTTAAAAAAATAAAATAAAGATCTATGTATTTGTAAGATACACAGTTCAGTGTTTACAGGTTTTATCCCCATGCCCTCTTTCCATAGGAGGCAACTTGAGTATCTGGCTTGTTTTCCTTTGATGCCTCAAGTGTTATGTGTTTGAAAGATGTCTGTAAAAACATAATACAGATCCTTGCAAAAGTTTCATGTATAAGCAAGATGTGTGTGTGTGTGTGTGTGTGTGTGTACATGTCTAAAATGCTATATGCATATATGGGAGTATAATAACTATCGGGAGCTTTTGTTTAGTAAAAGCACAACAGACATCTGAAAGAAATCTTAAAGAAACCAGAGGAAAGGGCTTATACTGAATGACACAACTTGGAAGACACAACTTCAATTGTGACATACTTGTGCATATAGATAGCCCACGATGGGAAAGTCACACATGTTGCATTCAAACATTCAAACAAATACAGCAGTAATGGCCTAGTTTAAGTTACTAGTCCTGCCTAGAATAGGCTCAATGGGACACAATAGTTATCATTTGCAACTAAAGCATTTCTAATGCTTTGCTCTGAAGTGGCAATGAGAATGGCATAGCTATCCAGATATTGTTGATGTGTAACCTTCAGCATTTCCCCTTATTGAATATATTTCTTAAAGCTGAGAAAATTCGCCACCTAAATTTTTTTTAAAGAGTCATATAATTCCCATCTTTGGTCTGAACCCTCATTGCCAGTCAATCCAAGAAAATTATAAAACACACATGGTCAGTGTGCATTTAAGGGGATGCAGCACATATAAAAAGGTCTAGGAATGTTTGAAAAAGCCCTATAATGAATGGACTACAGCAGATCTCAATATATCCCAGATCCTAAGCAAAATTGGTTCAACAAGATGCGGAGTGCATTGTAGACAAGGCACCAACCCCTGCTGAAGTGCATTATAGAATCCAGAATGGGAGCTGCCTAAAATGCACCGAAGGCATGGTTGGGCAGCCGGGGCTAATTGATCCCCAGGGAGGAGTAATGGATAACCTCTGCTCTGAACTGTCACTCCCTTTTTTTCACCCCATATGGCTCCTGAACGCTGATGCGCATCCCTGATGCACATCCCCGCTGGAAATGGGAGAAAATGCACAGTGGTTTGTGGGCACCTTCCGTGTTCAATGTAATCACCTTCCTGGTCTCAAATCAGTTCCAGGCATGGCTATCTAATCATCCGCACAGTGAAAACTGGTTTCAGCCAAACCAGTTCCAAGCTGTATTATAGTATCAGTGTAGATGTGCCCTGGGAAAGTCATTTCCACTGAGCCCTTCTAGTGATGGCCATCAGTTTAGATGGCCTTCGAAGGAAATCAGACAAAATCTAAGAAATCTAAGAATCCTTATCACTGGTAATC